TCAGGTTCCGTGGATGAAACAGCTGTCCAGTGCTCCCAGGTTTCCTTTGTTCTTCCATCTGATATCAGTCGACGATGAATAACAACTTGAAATATTTCCAAATCCTCACAACTCCGTCAAAAAGACAAAACATAAGTGATTTCAGAACATGTTGGAATAGTTGGATGAGAACTGACGATAAACTTAAAAGTCATTTTTTGCTGTAAAATCTGGTATAATGGATAAGTTTTCCGTTCTCTTTTGAAATTCTTCAACTGTATACCCACATGATACCACCGTAGTTTGAATTCACTAAATTAGAAATTAAAAACGATACGTATTGGGTGAAATGTACACGGGGCTATAGTTTGGTCTGTTCTACACAGGTGAGTTAAATGCGCCGCAAAACGTATCTATGAAGAGATCACTACCTTTTAACCATAGATATCTTATAAACGTTACTTGTGTATAGGGGAATAAAATATGGGTGACACCAAAGTTCGGCGTAGAGTAATAGTTAATCAAATTGATGAGGTTGTGTACTTCCAGCAGCTAAGGAAGGTCAGATATGTGTTGCACACATCAAGCTACCGACTGCCTTGGTGTAAAAGTAATGCATTATATCCCTGACTATTGATCTGCGTTATGTAGTAAGGTGTGGACTACCTGGTTTGGATGGCTGAGAGGATATGGATGAATCAGTAGTTGAAGACTCTTAGTAATGCGCCTGAAAATTGATCACAGTGGCGCAGATGTGTACACTCTTTGATGTCTTGTAAAGTTTGAATGCGTCGACTAACCATCGTCATCAAACTGTTTTTCCTTCCAAACACTTTTGTCTACTTTGATATCAGTCAATAAAGTCAGGAAACTTGGACCAATCCAGTTGTATGGGAGATTTTGTGTTGATTTTATCCATCTGTCTGCAATACCAACAAATTATTGAATATTTTGGCAAACTGATAACTTTTAAGGAAAATCCAGTATAGTTAAAAAAACAGTAACATGCGTTACACTAGAAAATAATTTACACTGTATCATTAATTGGACAAGATTTGGATTGTGAGTTGTTAGAAGTGAACGTGAGAAATGGAAGATTAACTTTGTTTCTAGTGTGTCATGGGATCTTCCTCCTATTCAAAGTTTATTGAAGGATAAGGTGGGATGAGATTTGAATAAAAGAAGGTTGGACGCTTGAAGGTGCACTGTTAGGGATGCTTAATCCCTAAGAAAAACCAACTTATGCTTATATTATCACTGTACAATTAAAACCTTATTTTCGCGCCCTTTTTGCGCCATGCTATGTTACTTATTATTTTTTTTAATCACAGTTTACGATACTAATCGATGATTGACCCATTTCGCATATTTAATATGCTATTTCGCTTCCCCTGACCAAGGCTATCTAAGGATATGTAAACGACTTAGTTTTTAGTTATCATGATTCGGTTGGAATAAATGTACTTTTAATCTCATCGTCTTCTGGTGTCGCCTGAATATCGAGTTCATCGTCATCAATATCAACCTAGGACCAGGCATTACTGCATAACGGTCCAACTTACCACACCTCATTTCAGTACATCAAGTAAAAAGACAGTGAGGCACAAGATGAAGATAAGAGAATGCAGTCGAAAGAAATATAAAGTACGAGAAGAAAGAAAGGAAGAATGAGAAAGTGGTGAGATTCGGTATATTGTCGTTAAGATGAGGATAGTGTGTGTGGGGATACATCTGCACCACTAACATCGGTTCTCAGCCATATCACCTAGAGTCAGTCTGCAAACACTGGTTCCTCTTGTCCCGTGGACCCCAACCACCTAGTCTGCATCGTCCCACATAGCTCAAACCAACAGTCAGACACTTCATGCATTGATGCCATGTTTTAGTCTAGCCACCTTGGGCCTTTTTCCAGCCTGGACCTACTTCAGCCAACATTGTGTGACAAGGCAATCGGTGACTAGGCACACGTAACACGTGTCCCAGGCAGCCATCTCAGTCGATGAAGATTCATAACTCCGTCAACTGATTTACCTATACTCCCTAAAACCCTGCACCTGACTTCTGAGTTACCCACGTAGTGACACCACGGAATATGGCCTATACTTTACTACGAAGGCAACGGTGGTCAAACACTTGAAGCCTTCTAATGTCTTCCACCTTCAGTGGACATGTTTCACAGCTATACAGCAGAACACAGCGCACTGCTGTGCAGTATATACGATCCTTAATAGACGATGGGATATCACGAGGTCCACTGAGCCACCAGGGCTGATCTCACTTCTCAGGTAAGTGAAGTGGTTGACACACTCAATCACTACACTCTCTATTGTTAGCCGTGGCACCGTTGAAAACCAATCCTGGGGCAACAGTTTGCATTTAGGTGGTGAGAAACGCATCCCAAACATTCTCAAATTGCTACTCAAAGCGTTCAGAGTACTCTGCACCTTGTCAGCGTCTTCACTTAACAGGACTAGGTCATCTGGATATTCTGGGTCTAACGAAAATTCTCCAGTGATTAGGTCAACTTCTGTGTAATCTGGTAACGAGAGGGAGATCTCCATAAGAATATCTATGATGAAACTGAATAAGAATGGAGACAGTGGGCATCCTTGATGGACACCCCACGATGAGCATAGCTCCCTGAACGTCTCACCATACGGAGTTGAGAAGTCAATGTTATATTGATAATTGTATCGCGTTCGAGCATTATATCGTTATAAACATACCCTAAATTATAACACATACCCTGAATCCATAAGACATTTGACTATTGGTTCGGTTCGTGTGACCAATTATCGATCACCTGGTCGGTTTCTCATGGCACTGAGAGACAATAATTACCCATTTAATATGACATGCATCATAATTAGGCTTACTAGGATATATGACGTTTCCTATGATCCTAGTGACTGCACCAGTCTCTGTATGCTTGTTTCAACCTTCAAGCAGATTCTAGTTATTTTCTAAACAAGATCCCATTTTCGTTTATCTCCTTGTTGTATGCAGTAGTGAAGTTTATGTCAACTAGAATCAGTCTCATTACTCCTTGTGTACTTCGAAGTCAACTAAGGAAATATACCCATTTATTTATTAACAACAACAAGGCATGTATCAGCTAAGAAGAAGCATTTCTTTTTCAATAACTTCATTATCAAGCTGTACAATAGTCGTATTTATACTCGGTAAAGTGACAGATAATTCCACTGAAAAGAGACTTGCTCAGTCAATATGCAAAAATATACAGTCGGTGTAGGTGTTGGTATCTGTTCAAGTGGAGGTGATAGGAAATGGATCACGGAATAAAGAGGGAGGAATTGATAACAAGAGGTGAAATAAGAGATAAATTTGCTATTTAAAAATGGTAAAACGGTGATAATTTAGCTGAACCTTGCAAAATAGGTCAATGAATAAGGAATGAACTGATATTAACTAGTGTAATATGGGTAAAATATTGTCAATGAAGTGAAAATTAGTGATAATGATGATAATAAAAGAGAAGTATACTAGAGTGAAGTGTGTCATTATTTTTTTCCCCTGGGTTCCTAGTGAAACATACAGATTCAGTAGCATGCCTCCATTTCACTCTCCTCTCCACAGTCTTTTCAACCTGTCTCCACCAATGCCCACAAGCTCTCATTTCTTCCTCACATCATCTCCTCCACATCACCCTCACCTCAGACACCCAACTCGTCGTCTCCCATTCCTGCTCCACTCAAGGGCCAGGCCTCACACGTGATATCCCCAATCCGCCTTCTCAGTGTATGCCCAATCCAATCCATCTCCACACTCTCCTTCTGCACATTTGTTGAGTGATAGCTTCTTGCTTCGTTGGTTAGTTCCCACAGTTCCATGTTGCTCATTCTTATTATTCTGACCATCTGGTCTTCAGTAATGAGCCAGAGTAGGCAGTTGTTGATGAATGTCTGTAGTTTGTTGGAAATACCTTTCGTAACGCACCAAGTTTCTCAACCAGATGGCAGCACTGACTTGACTGAATTGGTGTTGAAAATCCTGATGTTATGCTGATTGCAGTGAAGCAGATCTCCACATTGGTTTCAGGTTAATGAACGTCTGTCTTGCTGTCTTTCTGATCCTGGTTGGTGTGATGTCCTCGTCTGTGTCTGTGTCGCCTGTAGTTGAGACAGTGTTACCTCGTCAGGTAGATGAAAGAGACTACTTCCTTCAGGTTTCTCTTATTCATGGTGATTAAAGCTTGTTATTGTTGTAGTTGATGTTGGTTGGGTATCTTCATCACCTCAGTCTTTTCTATGTTCACTTGAAGTTTCATGTCCCTTCGCTGTCTTACCTCTTCTGTTAACTTGTTGATTTTTGCCTGTAGATTTTCAAGTTTGTGCGACATTAGGCACAAATCATCGGCGAAATACAAATCTTCTAGGATGTTTTCTTCGGTCAAATAGCCTATCCCCCTCTTCTCTCTGTTCACTGTTTGTTGCATGATCCGTTCGGCCACAATCAGGAATATCATCGGTGATAGTAGACAGCCTTGTTGTACTCCTGTCTTCACTTCAAATGCATCACTGATCTTCCCACTGTGAATTAGAAATTTAATAATAATCAGTTTATTTCAAGTAATATGTTTGATAAAATATGGAATTTTTAGCCCTTATCTGGTAACAACTTCATTTTCAGAACATTATTTCCAAACGAAATGATTATTGCTAATTTTGGTTGATTTTGGCAAACACAGGAGTAAATGACGCACGTTTCATCCAGCTGATGAGTCCGAAATAAGGCGAAACGCACTTTGCGGATTCCTCTGTTAGCTACAGCCAACCAAATTAACATAATTAACAACCAGGCAGCATCCAGGCACCCACATAGGAGCCCATATACCAATAGAGGTCGAACAATTCGATCCAATAAAACAACTGAGAATTACAAGGTTATCAGTACATAGTAAGGTGATTATTACACCTGAATTGTGTTCATATTTTTTGGTCTGACATTTATAACTGTTTACACTCCTTTGTTTTATTTATCTTCTTTTGCTTTCTATCAAGGTCATATCTCGTCTATATGACGTAACACGTTCACTGCTCAGAGATCTTATGGCGAATCCATTAGCTGTATCAATTCTAATTCATCATCGAGAGGAATGGGTAATAGAATCGAGTGATTCTTGTCAAAAATTAGTTAAATTATTGATACATTTAAGAACATTGACACGAAATGAATTGTTTACTGCACAAGGAGATAAGACTAAAGGAGATGAATATCTAGAATGTTTACGTCTTAAAGATTTAGAGCAAACTAAACAAATTGAAATATTAACAGAAACATATAATCGTTTAAAGTCTACACAGTTTTCACAGGTAAGTGGGAAACACATAGAATACAGTTCTGAACATTTATACTATTTACCTATTAATTTGTTTAAATAGAACCATAATAAATTATGGCGGTGATTCAAAGGTATTCATAATGGTTAAAGGTTGTTGCCAGAATTTTCAAAGCATCTCTAAGGTGATTTCTATCATTATAGAGTCTTAAACATGAAAAAACAGGTCAAGTTTTTAACACTTTCAATCATTTGTTTGGAAATCAGTTACGTTGAATATATGAGGTTACAATTCTGGATAAGGTTTTGAGCCCTATGATAACAACTTCTAAATCCTGATGGATTTTTCAAATCTCATTCCGACTAAACAGGAAAAATTAGTTTGAAACAAGTTTTGGGGCTATATAAACTCATCTCTAAGCTTAAAAACAACTACGTACAAGTGATATTCAGTTAATTTAGGTCAAAAGTGAAATCTGAGCATTTGATACACTAAGATAATTTCACACAAAGTTGAAGATCTACAGGCGAAATCCAACAAGTTAACAGAAGAGGTAAGACAGCGAAGGGACATGAAACTTCAAGTGAACATAGAAAAGACTGAGGTGATGAAGATACCCAACCAACATCAACAACAACAATAACAAGCTTTAATCACTATGAATAGGAGAAACCTGAAGGAAGTAGTCTCTTTCATCTACCTGACGAGGTAACACTGTCTCAACTACTGGCGACACAGACACAGACGAGGACATCACACCAACCAGGATCAGAAAGACAGCAAGACAGGCATTCATTAACCTAAAACCAATGTGGAGATCTGCTTCACTGCAATCAGCATAACATCAGGATTTTCAACACCAATTCAGTCAAGTCAGTGCTGCCATCTGGTTGAGAAACTTGGTGCGTTACGAAAGGTATTTCCAACAAACTACAGACATTCATCAACAACTGCCTACTCTGGCTCATTACTGAAGACCAGATGGTCAGAATAATAAGAATGAGCAACATGGAACTGTGGGAACTAACCAACGGAGCAAGAAGTTATCACTCAACAAATAAGCAGAAAGAAGTGTAGATGGATTGTGCATACACTGAGAAGGCGGATTGGGGATATCACGTGTGAGGCCTGGCCCTTGAGTGGAGCAGGAATGGGAGACGACGAGTTGGGTGTCTGAGGTGAGGGTGATGTGGAGGAGATGATGTGAGGAAGAAATGAGAGCTTGTGGGCATTGGTGGAGACAGGTTGAAAAGACTGTGGAGAGGAGAGTGAAATGGAGGCATGCTACTGAATCCGTATGTTTCACTAGATACCTACGGGACAAATAATAAGAAGATGATTTCACAGTCTTTATCTCTGAAACCTAACTCGTCATCGGTACTCACTGTAGACCAGTTTGAGTAGTAATTTTTAAGTCAATGAACAGTTGTCAGATAAAAGTCTATTGTTATTAGGTACACAGGAATATGGTCTTACCTTAATCTCTGATTTTAACCATTGCATACCGTGTTGTCACACTTTCTCATTTCGCCTGTCCAGAGTAAATGGATTTTGGTACTGTCTAACCGTAGGATAAATATCCACTTGTTCTCTACGTAATCCTTCACTAGCAGCAGAATGGATATTTTACTGTTATTACTCGCATTAATGGAATTGTTCGTGTTTTCACTGGTTACCCAGTTTATTCATCAGGACATAAGGATCTGACTCATGTACTGTTCCTTGATACTCGCGATTGGGTCAAATTTCTAGACCTCTGTTGGCAGATGGGCTACTACGCGGATGCTCCGATACTGAGTGAATATTCATTATGTAGTAGCTTACGCAGTGACAAGCAGTGGAGTCCAGAACGCGTGTGCTGGATGTACCTGTATCCTAGTGAGTGATGTTGTTCCCACTGAATCTCGAACCCGTAGCCACCACTTCAAACAACACAAATGCTCTCCACTTGGCCACTGAGCCACGACAACCACCTCTTCTTTGATTTGTATTCAAGTGAGCAGATAATGATGCTTGTCGTGTACCAGTGGATGAATAATACATTGGTGTATTCGAAAAGCAGATTAGCCTCTTTTAGTGCCAGAAAAAGTTTTTAAAGTATAAATTCATGATTAAATAAATTTATCGCTGCATCATCTATTTATCCGCGGAGTAATTGCTTCCGTACTCTTAAGAGAAGGAAGCAAGCCGGTAGGCATTACTTCATATGTCTTACCGTATGACTTCTCAGATTACAACGTAATAACTACCATAAGCGTACAGAGTACTATATTAAAATTGTAAATTTATGGTTTTTTTCCCTTCCAACTGCACCATGTAATCTTGTCAACCTTTCGAGTTAAAAAAATTTCAGTTGTTGTGTCCCGAAATATGTTTGAAAAAGTTTACTGGAATGTTTTATACTACCTACTATTATTAAGTAGTTAAATTTTGTGAATGAATATATTATCTAACCTTCTGAAATCTCAGTCCTCAAAAGCTCGATCTGGAAGTCATGATTAACACCATTATGTCATAATCATTATGGCTAAGGTGTATAATGCTTAAATCTATTTTTAGCCATAACCAATCAAATTACTAGAATATTTTCCTTAAAACCATACTTTAATGAAAGATTTCAATTGTGAAATGTACAAGTATTCGTTGAGTTTAGGCATGTCTTGAATTTAATTGTTATGATGCTTTTGGGGAAGTTAAAATAATGCAGAAAATGTTTTACTTTCTACCTCCAAGTGCTGTATGCTTGATAGATAAATTATTACTGGCATTGGATACAATCCAAATAGATCCACCAATCAAAAGGAAGCGACATGAATACACAACAAACTAATTCAAGAAATCAACCAATCATATAACTTCAATATGTTGTGAGGAGATTAGATCCGGAAATTCTATAAATCAAGTTCATCATAGGCCCACAAACTCACTAAGCGATCAGTCAAGTTACAAATTGGCAAAATAACACATTATAAATATCCATACACAGCTAACAATACTTTCTTGGGAATCTCTGTTACCCTCACTATAGTGTTTAGCATGACAATGGAACATTTGGTAACTGAAATCCTGGATCAGAGAACAACTTACTCTAGATACTGATGATTTTAATTGATAATTAAGGTATATTGACTCAGTTTAAACAACCGGATGGTAGTTTGAAATCAGTTGTTTATCATGACTGTAGCTATTGACTATTGAAAACAGAGTGAAAATGTTTGTCATGTTTATCATTTTAAAGTTTTTCATATTTTTGTAGTCCAGCATTTTATCATTTCTTAGTGTTCATATTTCGTGGTATTTTACATTGTTGAATGAATCGTTAGATAAGCACCGTCGAAGTTATACTTAGAATGATAGGGAAGAAATGTAATCAAGTCTATGGGATTGTGTATTTTTAGAGACAGAAGAAACTGGGACACATGCACACGCATGAAGCTACCGATTGCCTAGGCATTGCATGTTAACCGAAATAGCATTACATTTGTTGGCCAGTGTAAGACTAAACACCAATCCCTGAGATCTCTGATTAACGATCTGAATAGTTTAGGAAGGTTTACGAAGGTTGGCTAAGGACCTTGAAACTAAAGGAATGATCGATTTGATAGTCTTGAAGATATGGCTGAAAATCAGTCACAATGGCGCACATGTATACAGTCTGTGCCAATTTCTAAGTTTTGAACATTTGCATTGACTTTCATCCGCTTTTTATCTCTCCTTTGACATATTTATGTACTTCAGTGTCACTCATTATGTGTTTGTTCTTTCCATCATGTGAGGCAACTTGAAGTGAAGCACTTAAGTGCATGGTTTCATGTTAAAGTATCCGTTTATAGATAAATATATATACAGGTTTATAATTTTCATCAGTATATAAAAACCCTAGATCAAAGATCAAATAACTTATCCTGATTGGCTACATGAAGAAAAAAATATCCAATAAGATTAATCCTAACCTCATAGTAGCATAGATCAAAAATATATATTTTATCTGCTCATGACTTCAAATGTTGATTTCAATGTTCACCACTTCTTATTAGGAAAAGATAAACTGTAAAGAATATCCGTTGACATATACAATTTGAAATTGAAGATCTATCGCTCTCAAGCCTAATTGAAAGGTTTTTATCATTTTCCTGACCTAGTCTTTTTCGTTATAGTTGATAGGCGGCGTTGTTGCATAGATAGACGTTTCTGATTCCACTCCTAGCTATTACTCATCATCAGCATCATAAATGATCTTGTTTTATGACTTAATTCAAATAGACGTCTGTTTATGTCTTATTTCTAACAGACCTTGAATATACCGATGACATTGTTGTCTTAGGTGAAAACTGCGAGAAGACATACGTTTAAGAATGCTTGGGACCCTTTTCTTATAACCCAAATCTAAATTGTTGTTCCTTCGGTTCCTTGACTGACAATAGCAAGCAAAGTGCTTGACAATGTTGAACCATTCACTTAAATGCTAAGTCAGGTCAGTACTCATCCAGAAGTGACAGACAAAATCTCTGTACCTACACAAAAACCTGAACTGAATTCAATTTCGCTAACTCGCATGATAGGCGTCACCAAAGGGATATTCAGTTGCTTACTTAGACGTGATCGTATAGTGCAGTGATTCTCTTTGTTCTCCCAGGTCATTGTGAGACATGTTGATTGAAGGTGGATGATATGTGGAAGGTGGAAGTTTCATATGTCCAACTATTGTTTTCATAGTAGTAATTCGTGTATGTTTTGTAATCAACATTTAATGAAGACAAGAATCGGTAGTGTAGTTTTTGTTGAAGAAGACAAATTAGTTGATGAGGTTCTCAACCTTCAACGACTGAAATGCATAAGACCCACGTACTTTAATATGTTACAACCCTTAAATGATCTTGTTCTTTGACTTCATCCAAATAGACGCCTGTTTATTTCTCTGACATTATTTGAACACAATTTCACAAAGAATTCTATGGTATCTGTCATCCACAATTCAACGTCATATTTACTTCAGAACACTCATACAAATCATTATTCACAGGCATCACATA